AGCCTGGTAGTGTGCATCCTAAGATGTACCATCCATGCAAGTTTGGTCAACATAGGGCTTATAGTTACTCGGACCTACACCAAAAACTGCACCAAAAATATTAACCTGCTCCAAAAACATTAACCTGGTCATTTCTTTGCTGAAATTGCAGCATCTGAAACTTTGACTGGTTCAATGAAAAACACTACGAGGGGTGATCAAAAAGTTCGCAAACTAATTGAATAACTTCCATACAAGAAACAATATTTGGTTTTAATGTTGATTATATTTTAAATTAATCCTCCCTGATTTTAACGCACATCAACCACCGTTCTGCGCATGCGCGAATCACGTGATATTGGCGGTCACGTGACCCCCTCCGTAGCGTTCTGTCACAAAAGTTAAAAGATTTTTCCGAGTTTTATATTTCTTTCCATGTGAGTTAATTTTTATGACAAGAACAGTTAATTTGTCAGAAATGGTCATATCTCGGCAACAGAATGGGTGGATAATAACATAAGCATGGCGACCATTAAAACACAAATCTTCTGTCTCAGGAGAGACCTTTATTCAAGGTGGATAGAGAATGGGTGCATCCTTTTTATCATATCTAATATGTTTAAAATCTAAAGTAAACGATATCTTAGGTATTTAATACTTATATCATTGTTCAAATATTCAACTATTTTTTCAAAGTGCTAATTGGAGGTCTTTGATAGCAAATTGCTTAATTAAAAATACATATCTTTTCAAACTTGCTTTCACTGGGCAAGATGACAAGTATCATTTTAACCATCAGCCTTCCTTCAGTAAAACGATAAATCCAATCATTAATTGAATTTATAGGAACTCATTTATCTCAATAAACTGTGTACAAATTATTATATGATACTGTAGAGGGATTTCTAAGATATTACAATAAATTGTACAGTCGTTTGTTGAACGAGTTCGACTGAGACAACCATTTTTCGTCACAAGTGACCTAAATAGTGACGTCATTTTCACATTGTGACGTCACAAACAAGGAGAGAAACTTTATTCAGCATATACTATTTATAGACCTTGTGTATGGCTATGTGTGTACCGAATTTCACTCTAATCTGAATTGTGGTTTTGTAGATATAGAGATAGTTTGCGAACTTTTTGATCACCCCTCGTAGAAACATCTTCCATGCATGTCAAATCAAAATAGGATATATAGAAGTACTTAAAAAGAAAACTGCTCCAAAAAACTTAACCTTAACCCGGGACGCCGACAACGACGCCGAGGGTATTACATAAACTCCTCCAACCTCGTTGAGGTGAGCTAAAAACCAATTTTAATGTTTACAATTCCTACCTAAGGCATCATCTATTGATTAGCAAAAATTTGAACATCATTTGTTGATTAACAAACGAGATACAGAACTTCAACTTCTTCATAATGTAAAAAAGGCTCGTGCCTTTTTTTTGTTTACATACAGAAACTATCATAATGATAACAAAATAAAATTCAGCAAATCAATAGAAACTTTCGAATTGTATTTAGAATTAACATTTTATTGAAATTATTTACTTTGAACAAACATATATTAGTATATTAATCTATGTAAACAAAACATGACACGGACCTTGTTTACATAACAAAGGTTTGGATCTCTAAATATGTCTTGTATCTTGACAACTGACGTTCAAATCTTGGTGATCATTACAAAGACCCTAGTAAAATACTTGTAAAAATGGAAAAATAAATTTTGAAATTTTATCTGAAACTGTGTCCATGCCCCTTTATTGTTTTTGCGGACAGACAGACGGACGGACAGTGCAAAAAACTATATAATCCCAAAATTCGATTTCGAGAGAATAAAATGATAAATCTATGCTCTAAATTTCATTTCAGTATGTGCAATCTCTGCAAAGAAAATGAACGGAAACTGCAAATAATTGGAATTTTTCTAAGTCCAAGGGCCATAACTCTGTCCAAAATGGTGCGATCGTACCCAAAGCAGTACTTGACCTAGATATTCATCTGATAAATCTGTATACTAAATTTCATTTCAGTATGTGCAACCTCTGCAAAGAAAATGAACGGAAACTGCAAATAATTGGAATTTTTCTAAGTCCAAGGGGCATAACTCTGTCCAATATGGCACGATCATACCCAAAACAGAATTTAACCTAGATATTTGTCTGATATATCTGCATACCAAATTTCATTTCAGTATGTGCAACGGTTTCATCTTTCCTAGCCCAGTGGTTCTTGAGATGAAGATTTTTAAAGATTTTCCCTATTTATTCCTATGTAAAACTTTGATCGGCCATTGTGGCCCCACCCTACCCCCGGGGGTCATGATTTGATCAAACTTGAATCTACACTACATGGGGATGATTCCACATGAGTTTCATCTTTCCTGGCCCAGTGGTTCTTGAGAAGAAGATTTTTAAAGATTTTACCTATATATTCCTATGTAAAACTTTGATCGGCCATTGTGGCCCAACCCTACCCCCAGGGGTCACAAACTTGAATCTACACTACCTGAGGATGATTTCACATGAGTTTCATCTTTCCTGACCCAGTGGTTCTAGAGAAGATTTTTAAAGATTTTCCCTATATACTCCTATGTAAAACTTTGATCGGCCATTCTGGCCCCACCCTACCCCCGGGGGTCATGATTTGAATAAACTTGAATCTACACTACCTGAGGATGATTTCACACGAGTTTCATCTTTCCTGGCCCAGTGGTTTTTGAGAAGAAGATTATTAACGATTTTCCCTATATATTCCTATGTAAAACTTAGATCGACCATTGTGGCGGCAAGCCACACCCTACCCCCAGGGGTCATGATTTAAACAAATTTGAATCTACACTACCCGAGGATGCTTCCACATGAAGCATCCTCGGATAGTGTATGAGTTTCATCTTTCCTGGCCCAGTGGTTCTTGAGAAGAAGATTTTTAAAGATTTTTCCTATATATTCCTATGTAAAACTTTGATCGGCCATTGTGGCCCCACCCTACCCCCCTGGTCATGATTTGAACAAACCTGAATCTACACTACATGAGGATGATTCTATATGAGTTTCATCATTCCTGGCCCAGTGGTTCTTGAGAAGAAGATCTTTTTAAAGTGCCATTAATTTTTCACTACTGTAATTCATAATTATTTCCCCGTATAAGTGGGCGTGGCCCTTAACTTGAACAAACTTGAATCCCCTTTACCTAAGGATACTTTATGGCAAGTTTGGTTGAAATTCATGATTTAGAACAAATGAAAATTGAATCTACAACTACCTACGAGGATGCTTCCACATGAAATTTTGAAGAAAAGCACACTTCAGCCTGGCTCAGGTGAGCTAAGAATAAAGATTTTTAAAGAAAAAATTTTTGCATATATATACCTATGCTCAAAAATTGGCGGCCATTGTGGCCCCCCCTTTATTTTTTGCCAAGTGGAGAGAGAGAGAAAAAAAAACAATCTAGAAAAATATTTGTACGTCTAATTTATGTATTTCATCATTCCCACACATTTTGGTCCTCCATTCACATTCATTATTACTTTTTTATAAAGTTGAAAATATCTAATTTTTCATCTATCTTTATATATATGTAAATTCACGTTTAATTTGATATGAGATTCCCCGTTTTAGTATTTACCAGTGGGCATGTCATACCCGAATGATACTCTAAAAATGATATTTTATTTCTTAAACTGTAATCCCCTTTTAAGTATACTTTATGGAACAATGCAACTCTTTGTTTTGAAATACCCCCAAAAAGTTTTTTTTCTTAAAAGAAAAAAAATCTCCTGAAAATGTGAAAAGCATTTCCATTCAATTTTATAAGGCTTCAGTATATAGTTTTTGAAATGAGTTTGTTTTTTTTGTTTTTACTCGGACTTGGGGTACCTCTTTAAAGAAAAAAGGGATGTAAACAAAGATATTGTTTACCACAACATTAGATCTTTCAATACGTGTGTGTGTGTGTGTGTGTATGTGAGGGTGTGTGTGTGTGTGTAAATCGAGAGTATATAAAAAGGGACACAACCCTGAACCCCCCTTGCAAAAATTGACTATACATAGCTCAAAATTATCAACAATATTCATACTCAATGAAAGGTATTGCCACAAGGAATAGACATGTGAAATATTACAGCCATGTCTTCAAGCAATGAAAAGCAATGGGCAAGATTAAGGTTTTTGTAGACAAACAGATAGAATCAGGGCAAAATCTATATACCCCCCCCCCTCACGATCTATGATTACGGGGACAAAAAAATCATTCTTCATAATACAAACATACATGTATGAGTGTATGGCGATATTTGCATTATAAACAAAGGAACACACAGAAAATATACAAAAAATTTAATAAAATGATACTCAGCATGCATTAGAAATATGTAGATATCACTAAGTAGTACAAACAAGGCAGCTGGTCAGGTAACAATAAGAGAATTATCAACCTTGCTGTGCTCTAAAAATCGATATTGGGGATCAAACAAACAAGGTGTTTTGAAGATTTCTCTTGAAAAGAAGATATTTTGAAGAAAAACTTTTTTGTTGTTCATTACGACCTTCAGACAAGCTGGTAATCCGTGTCAAGGCGTTTTAATGCAACCTGTTTAAAACTGGATCTTTATCTGCTTCAGTTTTTTTCTCTTTCTTTAATTGTTGTTAGTAAACAAGGCAAGGAAAACGAAGCAATGATTAACGCAGGGGGGATACTAATTTAAATTAGATGAGTGTTAAGTATACACTTGAATTCAAAACCCTTCAAAGTCTAAGTTGTCATGTACATACAATCCTAACTACACATTGGCGTCGGAAGCAAGTTGAAAGTGGGGGGGGGGGGGGCTATGTGTAAAAAAAAATTTGTATCCTTTTTCGTGGGGGGGGGGGGGGGTAGGTTCGAACTTCAGTACCAATTTTTTTTTCCAAACACCACCACTTTCCCCATTTTTAACCTATACTAAGACATATCTGTGGAAAGTGGGGGGGGGGGGTAAACCTCCGAAGAAATGTGCAATGTCTATACTAAGTATATATTTGGAAAAAAAGTGGGGGGGGGGGGGGGGGGGCTAAGCCCCCCATAGCCCTCCCCCCCCCCCCCGGGTTCCGACGCCTAGCATGCAGGGTGTCATTTATCGGTTAGACTAAAACATGCATATCTTTTATATCAATGGATTACACATAAATGTATTTCACAATCTTGAAAACTTTGACATCTTTTAAAAATGACAGTGTATGAATAATTACAACTTTCTTTGGGCATTCAAAAACATCAATAGATACTTTTTTCTATCTACTACACATTCGACCATACGTAAATGACTTTAGCCTAACTGGCAAAAGGCAAATTAAGTGTCGTTACTTTAATGTTTCTTTAAAAGGGGGTAAACAAGTCCATATGGGAATAAAGGGATTATGCTACAATTAAAATAACCGATTCTGTAAAACAGCATACGCATAAAGATTTCGTGCATGCGTAGAAAGACATTGTGACAATTTCATTCAGTATGAAGAAGATGGGAAAAAATCTACCTACCTAGTACTAATCTTTAAAATGCAAGTGACATATGCTCTTCAATCTCATTTATAAACTTTTATAACAATTATGCAGTCCTTTGCAAAAAAAAAAAAAAATTAAATTGCTGGTTGTATTATACATCTAGACTACATGGCACAAGCAGGGCGGTTTTATTTTGAAAATAATACTACATGCAATTTTTCCACTGGTTCACTGTTATAATTCAGTAATTTGTGATCAGCGGTTACTGTTTAGCGCGGGTTATTATGGCTGGTAAGAATTATTGCATGTCCTCTGTAATGGCTTCAAATGGCTGTTTGTCTGTCCCTCCTCTTCTAGACACTGCCTTCTGTAAAATAAGAACAAACACATCAGGGACGTGTCAATGTTACCTGTGACCACGTAATTTTTTTAAAAATATGTTATTGTGGTCTCTAAAAAAATACAGGGAGAATATAACCATGATTGTGATACACCTTTTTAGCAAAAGAAACAGTTGTATGGCTTTAAAAACCCTTGCATTCCATGTTTAAAATAAATTTTAACCCGAATTAATCGAATTACGCAATAAAATGGTAGTGTTACATTTGTAGAAACCTGCATTATTAAAGTTTACCTGCACTCTTCTCTCCGTACAAATGTCGAAGACCAACAAACAAACGGAAAGAACGATTCCTATGGCTAGTAGAATATACGCACTTCCGACTTTATCCATACCCAGAGCACTGCCCTTGAAAAGATACCCCGACTCCTCTTTCTTGTTGTCAAAAGACCTAATGTACTGCAAATAATCGTCATAGAAATCAGTATCACAAACGTTGTCCTTATTCAGCCACTTATCTGTTAATTCTTGTATCACACCATCAGTTTTCAGTCTAATGATGGCGATATCTAGATCTCTGCATATGCTGTTGTTTTTGGCACACCCAAAAGAGAAAGATTTACGTATGAAAGAATGGTGAATTAGCATTAGATCACACGGCGACATTCCTGCTAATTGCCTAGCTCCTATCTCTTCCATGATAAATGCATAATCGCCATTGCTGTTTCGAACTCGATTAATTCCCTCTGCTGTACTACCGACCATTTGATCTGGATTGTTTTTAAAATGTTCTCCAATTTTGCTATCCACCTTATCCAAAGCTTTTGTAAAGGATCTATAAGTGGACCCTCCTTTAACTGTTCCAAATTTCACAGATGATTGTTTCGAAAGCTCAGAAAATGAATGGAAGGGAGACTCCGGAAGTTGTCTCTTCCCTTCCATAATGAATACAGCAAAGGCTGAGGCCCAGGTGGCGTACAAAATGATAAGAAACAAAGACCAAAAGGCAAGTATCACTCTTGAAGACCTGGAGGTAGATTTGGATGGCGCAAGACTTCCTACAATATTGGCGTAATTAATTTTTAATTTGGTACTTTTGCAAAAACATTTGCCTCAGTTAAGTCCCTTATTTTTGCCATTTATAATTCAAGGGATTCGAACCATTTGAAAATACCTATATTTTTAATTTAATTGACAAATAACTAATATTTAAGTTTATTTTCTAGGAGAATACTTGAATATGTGATGATCAGAAATAATTAAAGCTGATGTTTTCGAAATCTCTGGTAGAGAGAAGGTGACAATTATTAACTGACTGTCCAAAACGAATCAAGTGCTAAATGGAAAAGTACATGTATGTATATGTACAGGTGAAGAACGCTAACGTGTTTTTCAATATAACTAGTTTGGAGGTATACTTTACACCAACTTCAACCTTGTAAGCAGAATCTGTAGAAGACAACCGGAACCGCTTTGGCGATGTTCTTCAGAAAAGAAGTTTCGGCTTCATCTTCCATGGGATCAAAGCTAGGAAAACAAATCGTATAGAAATAATCACACGTGACAAGATTAAAACACTGTTGCATGCATTTCTAGCTTTAGAATTATTATTGTTGTTTTAGGTGTAAAATTTGCGTCTTGTACTTACTGCATAATCAGGCCGTACAGAATTGGAATAATTACACAGGAGAAGAGCAAGGCGATCCAAACCCCGGCTGTAAAGGGCTGCAGAAAGGAAACATATCCCGTTATGGCTTGCCATCCCCTCGCAATGGGTCGCTTAAGGACAATGGAAATTCCTGATTCCATGAAGGGATGCGAGAAGTCGATGGCGGCTGCTCTCTCTGCCGTCACGGTAAGGGACGCTGCAGCAATATCTGCTTCCTACAAAGAAAAATTAATCCTTTTTGCTTTCACTTTTTATTTCCAAACTCTTGTCAGAGAAATATCTAATTGTCCTCCGCTTTCGCGAAAGCAATTAAATTCTGTGGTCACAAAAAAACCTTGCCCATAACTTTTGATTGAGAAAAGCTATGGCTTTTATATTTCACATGTGTAATTTGACAAGACCTTTTTTCAAACACAGAGAGACAAGTACCAGAAAATTTGAACCTTTGACCTCGGAGTTTTATCCACTTTTACACTAAAATTCTTAACTTTTACTTTAGCCATAATTTTTGAAAGATAAGGACTAGGGCTTTCATATTTTACAAATGTATTATTTGTGTCAAGGCCTTTCATGGATACCAACAATTATGACGTTTTGACCTTGTCCTTGGAGATTTCCGTACTTATGTAAAAACTTTAACCTTGGACGTTATCTTTGAACGGTAAAGGCTAGGGCTTTCATACTTCACATATATAATCCTTGTGAGCAGACCTTTCATTGAAATACCAAGAACTTTGACCTTTGACCTTGGAGTTTGATCTTTTAAAAACAAACCTTGACCATAACTATTCAAGGGTTAGAGCTAGGGCTTTCGAAAATACTTTACATAGTAATCCTTGTGACAGGATTATTACATTGGATATCAAGAAACTAATCCTTTGACCTTGACCTTGGAATCAAGACCTACATTTTAAAAATATGACTTGGCCATAACTTTTGAACAGTAGATTATTTTTCACATATATATCCTTTGTGGCAAGAACTTTTATTTGATACAAACAACTTTGAACATTTGACCTTGACCTTGGAGATTTCCATACTTATGAAAAAACTTTAACCTTGGCCATAACTTTTGAACGGTAAGGGCTAGGGCTTTCAAACTTCACATATGTAATACTTGTGAGAAGACCTTTCTTAATAAACCAACAACTTTGACCCTTTGACCTTGGAGTTTGATGTCCATTTCAAGAATTATCCCTGGCCATACCCTTTGAACAGGTGGTGTTAGGGATTTCATATTTCACAATCGTATTTCTTGTGAGAAGACCCTTCTTTAGGTTATAATATATTTAATTTGCATTTAAGAAAAGTTCAATCTTCGCTTCCTTGCCATAGGGGTCATCAGTGTTTAACAAACACATCTTGCTCCTTATATTGAGAAGAGATAGGGCTTTCATATTTGACATGTGCATTACTTGTGACAAGATATTTCCATGAAGGATGCTATGATTTCTGACATTTGACCTTGACCTTCACGATTGACCTTATTAAAATAAACAACTTTAGTGATAATTTTAAAATGGCATTTTATAAGGCGATCATATTTGACACAATATGTCATAAAAAAAGACATGTCATCCACAAAGACACCGAAAGCGGGGCACCACAATTCTTTGAATTTGCTTGTAATCAATTGTTTGGTAAAGGTTGTATTTTGAGCATAATGACCAAAAAAAAGAGTACATGTATTTGTTTAACTAAATGATTAAATGATTAAGTATGCAAAATCGAAACCAAGTCATCTTTTTTGGTTGTGACGTCTGCTGAGGTATTATTAGACGAACGCAGAGAAAGACAGAGGAGGACAAAAATATTCAAAACTAATCACACTACTTTAATTTGGGAATTTCTTGACCTATACTGTTGTAGCAACCGATAACCAATGGTCATTTTGACGTAGTAGTTCGAGATGAAATAACTTGATAATTTCTGGAATATTTTGAGCCAACCAAACAAAGCGCTAGGAATCATTCAAACAGTTGTGTAAAGTACTAATCATAAAGGTGTGTCCTGTAGCAAGATCCTGATCTACAGGTTCAGACCCATCTGCTTGGGGAAGGCGGAGATCGTAAAAACCAAGATCCCGAGTGGCAGTAGATGTTGGAATGAAATAAAGTGGCCAAGTTAAGGTTTTTTGCAGCCTTACTCCGCAAATGGATGTGTTCCAGCTTAAGAAACATATCGTCGAAGTAACGCAACCAACCAAGTAAATATAAGTATGACAATGTTATATGTAATCTTACCCCCTTGATTAGTTCTCCTATCATACCAGTCCAGTTGCCATACTTATTCTGAGAGCCGTACTTGAAATCTCCTACATGTTTTATGTTAAAGGTCGCATTAAGAATTGGTTCTATCCTCTTCAACAAATCGGGTATGAGGCCTTCAAATTCTGAAGGGTTTCCATCCTTTAGTGTTACAAAAGGTTTATCCTAAAAAAAAAAAACAACAACAATGAAAGTTAGTATTTTTGTGATATCTTTAAAAATAAACTTGAGTAGGTCCTGACTTATAGTCATCTTATATCTTGTTGATGAATTATGTACATGGTTGGTTGTAATTATTACACTACTAGTCAACCTTAATAACAGTCAAGTTTATATCTGATTACATGCACATATGTACACACTTATACCAACTAAAGTAGGTATGAAAAGAAAGCATACAGTCCCGTTTTTTTTCTTCCGGTTACTAGTAGTGCACAGTTTTAAGCCAGGCAGTATATGGGTGGTTATTAAAAATGGAAAGACAAATATATCTTGACGACCACCTGTAGTGAATGCTTTGAGCAAACAATGCAGATTTGACGAAACAAAATCTCAATATTTAGATATTTTATGGTGTACAGTCACGAGAACCATTAAGAAGATCATACTAATTTATGTGAATATCCAATGTAATCTGAGATATCACATGCATAATGCTATTAATAGTTATGGGCATAGATCACGCGTAAACTGTGCGTTTCTTTCTATATAGTTTGCAATAACCTTGTTGGATCTGATCGAAGCATAATAAAGACTGAAGATACTGGGTGTTCAAATAGTATATTTAATAATTTCTCATTGCAGTGCATAACAAATGCATGTATCTTTATAATAAATCGTTTACTTATGATATAGATCTTATTATTTGCGGACTTCTCTATACTGAATTCTCCAGTTTGCATGCTTCGGTTCTTTGTCAACCTTTAAATCATGATCATTCATCCCTTGACTTCATTTAAATGTTTTTTTTAGAAATTGTCATGGAGTGTAAATAATTTTATGGTACACGTTATCCACTCATGTCCCGACTAAAAAGGTACGTTTCAAGGTAAAGCAATGAGGACATATATGGTGCAAATTAAGCATACATCCATTTGCATTTCAGTCTACCTCTATACTGCACGTCTGGACGAGATATTCGTAGTAAACAATAAATAGGAAGAACAAAGATTTAAAGTACATAAACGATATAAATTGAAAATTCTTACTAGAATCGTGGTGACCCTGTACACCGTGTTTTCCTGCAATAAACAGAAACATTTTGTAAATTGAATCTACGCATATAGATTGAAAACGAAATAAAAGCTGTAAAAAATTATTTTTGCAAAAAGAAAAGCAAGATAAAAACTTACTGAAGACGTGGACGTAAAACCCAGCAACAGAAACAGACACAAAACCTGGATCTTCATAGTACAACAATGACAATGCTTGAGCGGATCTAAACAATGACTGCACCCAGGGTCGTAAACATGGCAAATAGGACACCGACTTTGTATTTTAAATGTACGACTATGGTTGGCCGTTCTACTCACAATTATTTATTTTTACTCCACTAAAATTATTTTTACTGCAGTAAAAATAAAACACTGGCCAATGCTACTCACAATTAAATATTTTTACTCCAGTAAAAATATTTTTACTCCAGTAAAATTATTTTTACTCCAGTAAAAATCATTTTTACTTCAGTAAAAATCATTTTTACCCCAGTAAAAATCATTTAATTTCTTACTGAAGTAAGATTACTCTTTGGCCACATTACTCACATTTAATTAATTTTACTGCAGTAAAAATAAAACACTGGCCATCTAACTCACACATTAATTATTTTTACAGCAGTAGAAATATAACACTGGCCTTCTCTACTCACAATTAAATATTTTTACTTAAGTAAAAATCAACCAATAACCAAGTATGTTACAAATTAGCATTTATAATAAATATTGGCGCTAAAGAAGAATTCTTAAGACGAACAAAGCAAACCATCAATGACTGTATACGTTTATCAGCCACGGATAACCTTGAAGCAGAAACCATTGACAGCATTGTTTTAAGGTAGGCATCATAAATTTGCATATTTATCTTGTTTGTTGGCAGATCCAAGATTTTTTTATGTGTTGTGAGAAAAGTTATATTTCTCAAGACCTATAGAAAATTTTCATCATGTTCATATTCCAGCTGTTATTATTTTGTACTAAAACTCAGTATCTAATTAAATATATTTTTTGTCAGGTTCGGCAATGGGTATCATGAAAAATTATTTTTATACTCACGGATCAATAGATCGGGGCGCATATTGTTTTTGTCTTGTTTGTTTGTCTCTCGGTTGTCAACAGCCACGTAGCATGGTTTTTGAAGGGGGGGGCAGCCCAGAGAAAAAAATTTTCATTTACCTGAAGAAAGTTGACAAGAAAAAAAAAAAACCCAAAAAAAAAAGAAAAAAGGAAAATTGTCCAAAGTCGGGTAGTTTGACAACTTTTTTCAGTGTCATCAAGTTCTTTCAGTACCAATTTTTAGCATTCAGTACTACATTTCCCTTATATAAATTTCCTGTAGTGTACAGAGGGGGGGGGGGGGGCTACCAACCTTTCAATTAACATTTCCTATAGTAAAAGTCAGGTTGGAAATAAAGTGGGGGGGTGGGGTTGGCAGCCCCCCCCCCCCGTTGCTACGTGCCTACTCTTAATATAACCATGTTTTTTAAAGATTATATTGTATACTGTATATCGGCAAATCCGTACAGTATAGTCCATTTGCAGTTATATTCCCTGTCTTAGGCGTAGGAAGCACATTGAAAGCCTATGTATGTCATGTCGTATATAAATGTCATGTGTAAACAGTCTGGGGAATTTTCCCCGTTGAGCTATGAGTCACCAAATATCTAACATGGACTGTGATTGGTTGATTTTCACTTGAGTAAAAATATTTAATTGTGAGTAGAAATGGCCAGTGTCATATTTTTACTGCAGTAAACATATTTTTACTGTAGTAAAATTAATTAATTCTGAGTTAAATGGCCACATTGTATTTTTACTCCAGTAGAGAAGTAAATTATTTTTACTGGAGTAAAAATAATTTTACTGGAGTAAAAATATTTAATTGTGAGTAGCATTGGCCAGTGTTTTATTTTTACTGCAGTAAAAATAATTTTAGTGGAGTAAAAATAAATAATTGTGAGTAGAACGGCCAACCATATACGACAGACACTTTAAACCTTAATTCTTCCCAAAAAAAATCGATAAGTATACTGCATTGTAATGCAAGTGGCGTAGAGGGCCAAGAAGAGCTGGTATGCGGAATTGGTTCCCATGGAAATTCCAAGAGATTTTTGGAAGACCTGGTCTCCAAAAACAACATAGATATTGTCAATCAGAAACTCCAGCATTTTTTGATGTCAACTTCACAGTACTTGTGTGTACAATCAGAATGTTTTTAATAAAAATTTGCAAATGACCAATGACAAGGTACATGTAAGTAAATTTACGAGTTCCATTTTTATTGAAAAAGCAGCTGTCGACTATATCAAAAAGGCTGGACTTTAATTTATCTTGGGGGAATGGTTGTATATAAAGTTGAAAAAACGTAAGTTTTTAAGCTGTTGATTTTGGTAAAATCTTGTGATTTCAAATTGTCCAAAAGTTCCTCGGAATTTTTAAGGATCCACATCTGATTCACACCAATTCTTGAATATATTGTTGCACAGTATTCTTGAAGTTTCTCCTTCTCTACTGTCAATATCTTAGTTAGGAGCAAAGAAAGATGCTTGGTGAAACATTTACTAGAACCTGCTGTATGTATCTTTGTTTGTGAGGATTTTATATCTATTTTATGAAGTTTCGGAATCCAGTATAGATATGGTAGTTCAAATTCACTTTGGTTCTTTGGGATATTAAAAATATTTAAAACTGGCATATGATTTTGAAGATTTCCTTCCTTAAAAAAGAATTATGAGTATAAGTTGGATAACCATTTGTAGAATTAAATCCAAGTTCTTCTAAAATACAATTTATATAATGAGCCTTACAAACGAAGACAATATTGTTACCCGCTTTGTCAGCAAGGACCAGTACGTACCGATCATGTAATACATGTATATCTAATTCTTTTCTTTCCTTCTGGATTATTCACAACAGAAGGAAAGATGGTTTTCATATTACCCTCAATCATGGTAAACACTTTTTAGAAGTTTGGTTCGGTGTTGATAGATGATATATTTGAACATGATTTCTATAACAGCATAAACTTAATTAAGATCTTCTAAATATTGATTTATACAAGTGTTGAAGTTATGCCCCTTTGCTTATGAACAGCTATACACGTAGCATCTCCTGATAAAATTATCAAATAAGTAAGTAAATAAATAAATAAATAAAATAACAATGTGTACATTCAAGGCATTTAAATAAATTTTTTGAAATAAAATTTTACACACAAATAATAAAATTTCTTTTTAATACTTATATAATTACATAAGTGAAGTATTCGTAGACAGTGTTTGTAAAAATATGGCTGTTTCTGTTGTGATTTTCTCTCACAAATACCTCTCATCTACCCCCTACCTCCACCCCACCCCACCCCCTATTCCCCACCCCCACCCCCAAAAAAGAAATATAAAAATAAAAATATTCAATACATATAGAAGTTATACATTGCAAATGGAAAATATTGGAATACAAATTTAAAAAAAAACAAAACAAATAATTTTGTTTTACAGTGCAAATAGAAAATATACAATCCAAATTTTAAAAAAAAATGCAATTCAAATGAAAAAATAGGAATACAAATGGAAAATCATAGAAGAAAATAATATAATTATACAATTCAGATAAAATATACATACAAATGAAAAAAAATATACCGGTAATATATAAAAATATATATATAGACCACAAATTAATGAAATATAAATACAAATGGAAATAAAGTTTTTTAATAAGTACATAAATCTCCAAGGTCAAAAGGTCAAAGTTGTTGGTATCCAATGAAAGGTCTTGCTACAAAGAATACATATGTGAAATATGAAAGTCCTAGTATCTACCATTCAAAAGTTGTGGCCAAGGTCAAAGTTTTTGAAAAGAAAGTCAAACTCCAAGGTCAAGGTCAAAGGGTCAAAGTGCTTGATATCCAATGAAAGGTTTTCTCACAAGGATTACATATGAGAAGTTCGAAAGCCCTAGCCCTTACCGTTCAAAAGTTATGGGCAAGTTTAAAGTTTTTCATAAGTATGTAAATCTCAAAGGTCAAAGGGTCAAAGTTGGTAGCATCCAATGAAAGGTCTTGCCACAAAGAATACATGTGTGAAATATGAAAGTCCTAGTATTTACCGTTCAAAAGTTGTGACCAAGGTTAAAGTTTTTAAAAAGTAGTTAAACTCCAAGGTCAAGGTCAAACGGTCAAAGTTCTTGATATCCAATGAAAGGTCTTCTCACAAAGATTACACATGTGAAGTATGAAAGCCCTAGCCCTTACCATTCAAAAGTTTTGGTCAAGGTTAAAGTTTTTTGATAAGTACACAAATCTCCAAGGTCAAAAGGTCAAAGTTGTTGGTATTCAATGAAAGGTCTTGCTACAAAGAATACATATGTGAAATATGAAAATCCTGGTACCGACCATTCAAAAGTTATTGCTAAAGTAAAAGTTAAGAATTTTTGTATAAAAGTGACCCCCGGGTCAAGGTCAAAAGGTCAAATATGGTGGTACTTGTCACAAGGAATACTCAGGTGAAATATGAAAGTCATAGCTCCACTAAATAAAAAGTTAAGTGCAAGGTTAAAGTTTTTGTGACGGACGGACAGAGTGACAGACTGACGGACAGACGAATAAGATTCAATGTCCCCTCGTTTTCGCGAAAGCGGGGGGACAAAAATCGAATATTGCAACGTTTGTCATGAGATACTCGAAGAGCTCGTGTGATGAAAAGATGTCCTTCGTCCGTCCTTCTGTTGATCATATAAACAACTTATCAGATTAAAGCCAGTTACTGAATTTGGGCCACATCAAAGTTTCAATGAAGTTCTTTTCTTATTATGCGCCCGGATCGATAGATCCAGGGCGTATATTGTTTTTGTCCTGTCTGTTTGTCTGTTTGTCTGTTTGTCTGTCTGTCTGTTGTCAACTTTAACCTTCACCATAACTTACAAACCATAAGAGATAGAGACTTTATATTTGAAATGCATACTCCACTAATAAAGTTCTTTCAAATGACATCAAGGTCATTGACCTTATAATCTTGACTGTGACCTATATGTTAAAAATAGCTTTTTCGAACTTTGTTGCCGCCGGGCGCATAGTGTTTCACAAACACATCTTGTTTTTCCTGTTGTATTTGCCCGTATTAAAAATTATTATTGTTCGTCTATATCTTTCTTACATAATATTATATTGTTATGCGTTGAATAATTAAAAAAATTATATTTAATAGTACTTTTGTCAAAAAACTAGAAATATAATACAAACCAGGGGATCTCAAGATTCGTCGTAGAATTTTGGTCTTTTTAAAAAAAAAAA